CTTTTGTGATGACGTCGTGCCAAAGTAAATAAACCCCGGAGCACGCGATTGGTCAAATAGCCTAGGCAACAAACCTCTCATTAATATTCATTTTGAAGTCTTGCTAGTTACGTCATTCAGCTGGCTGCAGCTTTGTTTTGATTTCTTCGATCGGACTACGATCGATAGCGACAAATAAACAGTGCCAAAAATGCTTCCATTTTGTAATAAATTGCACTATTTTTGAAACGGGGGATCGTTTTCTGGCTAAGGGGGTTCGCTGGCAAAAGGGGGGTTCGCTGAAAAAAGGGGGTTCGCCCGAACCCCTAAAAACCCCCCTGGCTACGGGCCTGGGAGGTTCTATCTCCTTTGAATCTCTTTTGAATATAAATTAAATACTGTACTTTAATTAATTTATTATTGCACGCTTAAATTGTATAGGCCTATGTGCTGCAGTGTTCTTTATGTAGAGCGCCAATAATGCTCGATGTGATCATTCGGGTCCGGTGGCACCTCCAATTTCAAGCAAGCGTTGCGGAGACTTCTTCGAAGTTACTCTGGAGTTCGGTTGTATATGAGAATGAAGAAGATAATTCTGATCAACATTGATTTATTGCTTTAAAGTACAAATAAAATTGAGAGGCGAATTTAGAAAGTTTAGATCAAAAATATTTATTAAAGTTTTCATATATGTTTGTTTTAACGCCAGTTTGTGTTACCTAACTATGTAACTTAATTCATTCCAATTAAAGAGAGCCACGGATTTGCCAATAACAGGCACTTAAAATTTTTGCTATAGATCGACTACAATGTACCTTGATACCGTATTTAATACATTTAAATCAAATTTAGATCAATCTTAATAATGTGATTTTAAATAGCAAAAGCAAAAAGAAAAAAATTGATTGCCCAAACGCATCAGAGGTTATTTTTGGGCGACTAGAAAACAAAAATTTCCTCTAAGATGGTGTTATCTCGATCGGCCCCACTTTCGCCCTTCCCCACCCCCGCCTTTTTTTTCGGCTCCGACCCTCTCCATTTCGGACATCTCTGGATTCGCCCTGAATTGGCCTACATGCCAGCAACTAAAGAACATAGGCTATTTAATATTATGATGTAGCTGGGCATGTATTTTATGGTGATAGATTAATTAAAAGAAGAAAAACAGTGAAAGTTTTTAAACAGAACAATGTTACAGAACAGAACAATGAAACGTTAAAACATTGTTCTGTGTATATCATTTGAATTTCTTAAATTTCTAATGAATGACCGCTGATTTTCATGTAATTTTTGTAGTATTTCAAATGAATATGTACCCACTGTTGTCTTCTAATCTGATTAAAATCTGGCCGAATTTTGGCCGATATCGAAAAAAGTTTGGCCGAATTTGGCCGTGAGATGGCGTGTGTTTGGCCGTGAAACCTGTCGACTATCTGGCAACCCTGGATGGGTTATTTTAACTCTGCCATTATGCATTGCGATAGGATAAACTTTGCTCTCTGTGGATGGGTTAATTTAACTCTGCTATAATTCATGCGATAGGATCAATTTGACTCTCTGTGGATGGGCTATTTTAACTCTGCTTGTTTTACTCTAAACATGAAGTTAATTTAACTCCAACAACCCAAATACTGGAGTAAAAATTATATTATATAACCATGGAGAAAATAAAATAGATATAACATTATAACCTTGTATAATTAAGTTTGGATCTGAAATGAGAGTCAACTTAAGGTTTACTCCCCTAAGGAGTTACTTTAATACCATTTAAGGAGTTAAAATAACTCCCAAAAAATAACTCCCCCTTTGGGGGTTATAACTACCCCACAGGTGGAGTTACAATAACTCCTCAAAATTAACAGTGTACCATTAACGAAAATGTTGGTTTTCAAAACCTGATCAAATTGCAGAGAATTGTTGTCTCATATAACAAATTCTCGTGTGATTGCAATTTAGTCTGGTTTAGAAATTGGATAAACAAAACGAAAATCACAATTGAGGAACTTTTTCATACAGAATGTTTCCGTATACACGGACAAAGCGGGATGCACACCAAACTGCTGGATTTTGATCCTGATACATTACAGTGTAGCAAATTAATTAAGGTCTTAAGGATCACCATTCCGTCTGTGTCAGCTGGGGTTTTCATTGTAATAATTGGATCTCTTCTGTACTACTACAGATATGATTTAAGGTAGGTTATTCGCCAACCAAAGAAATATGAAAAAAGTCAGGAACTTCGGAAATGGGAAAGTGGGTGGTGGGGAGACACATTATGAGGACTCAAAGTTTCAATCAATTTTATTTTTTTTAAGAATAGTAGGCATATATTTGTAAACGAAAAAATAGGTAAAAAAGTCAAAATGACACGGAGATCTTTTCTGATTTATTCGAAAATAATTATATTCCTTATTAGCGGATCGTCTATGTTAAGACATTTCTATAAATTATAGCAATATAAATATTATAATTTAACTGTTTTTAAAATATTAGTTTTGGCAAGACAACCGCATATATAATTTAACCAAATAATTAAACATCGCGATTAATTTGATAAAACAGAACAATTATTTATGACTACTAAAAGAAGATAGGCCTAATACACAAACATTCATACATAATACATAACACTGGGCCTAAACCCCAGCGGTCAGGGTACCATATTTTTCCTAGACAACTCATAGATAAATGTGGTGGTGAACGTTACCGGTATGCATTTATTTGTGTTGCTGGTAGGGTATATGTTTAGGTAGGATAAATGAAGTATTTTCTACCGCATGAAAAAAATTCTCCCGTAAATTTTTGAAAATTTGAGTAGGCTATTTAATTTTGAATATCAGCTTAGCCTAGGCCTAGATAAAACATAACTTGTTAAAAAACAATCGTAAACAATCACAAATAAGTTTATTCCACTCCCTACCATCACTGTTTATAATGCATTTGCAATTAATTACGGTACGGTAGCTGTTGAAAAGACGGAATCACAACACACTTTGTTTATTAAAAAAGTCGATGCGCCCATCCTTCCGACGCCCGGCCTGAGACAATGCCTGCAATGTGATTTGATATCGCGAACAACACGCCCTTTGACCCGTAGAACAGGCCTACAGTTAACTTTTTGCATAAAGTTAATTTTATCGAGCTGTTTCATGAAAATAATCACACAATTATTAATTAATAGTCGAAAATAATACCAAATGATTAGAAATGTATTGTTATATTCAGTTAGTAAAAAGTTGTGGGCATAAATGTTACCCCACCAATATCAATCAACCAAATAGGCCTTTTTCACGAATCGGTAGACATCATGAAGTGATGACAAACATTGCGAATCAGCGGTGCGTAACCAACAGAAATAAGATAAGTTTTTGGGCTGATTTTTTGACATCATGTTATTTAAAAAATCATAACTCTATAACGGGGCGTCGTATCCAAAAACCTTTTCCAGCAAAATGTTCTTAAAAGACTAGTCTACACTACTATATGATTGAAAAAAAATTGAACATTTTTTTTCACCTCTGAAATCAAGATGGAAAAAGAAAAGCCTACCGGTATCTCAGTAGTGTAATAAAATAGGTATATGCATTACAGTGCTGTAGTACTAGTAATGCTCTGAACTAGCATTGTTTTAGTTACCATATGAGAGTTTCCTGTGTTAAAAACATGATTTACTATACTATACCTCTTTATAAAACATAACTTGTACTTTATAATAAGAGAAATCTGTATATTATCGCTACTTGGAACAGTAAAAACACGAAAGTCCTATGCTACTGCATTGTAATGCATAGGCTTATTAATACACTACTAAGATAGGCTTTTCTTTTTCCATCTTGATTTCAGAGGTCAAAAACATTTTTCAGTTTTTTTTTCAATCATATAGTGGTTTAGACTAGTTTTTTACGAACATTTTGCTGGAAAAATTTTTGGATACGACGCCCCGTTATGGAGTTATGATTTTTTAAATAACATGATGTCAGAAAATCAGCCTAAAAGCTTATCCTATTTCTGTTGGTTACGCACCGCTGATTCTCAATGTTTGTTATCACTTCAAGATGTCTACCGATTCGTGAAAAAGGCCTATTTAAATGCTGTACAAAAACAGGTACCTATCTTGGGTGTCGGTTTACAAGCACTGGCAACCGGAAATCGCGTGACTAACAAGGCATTTCTTGAAGGTAGACATAGGTAAATACAAAAAAAAAATCATGGCAATAAAGCAGGGGATGCACCTTTTCGGTTCCTGGCACCTGAACTATTAATATTATTAGGGCTATTATTATTAAAATAAGGAATCACGTGTAATTGTCATCACGAGTATGCTTAGCAAATCAGTTGTCTGTCAACACTATGTCGTTGGTTGACCGAGGCGTAACAGCTCAGATATCAATAATCTTCTGCAACCAAGAAACTACAGATGCAATATATTATATGTACAATGTCTGAAGCTCCTACTAACATTATCAAGTCTTCATAAAGGTACGTTTTATATATTCCTGGCTTGGTTTACCGATGAGCAGCATTTCATCGCATTTGATACAGCGCTACTTAGGCTATTTACTCAACTATATCTTAGCTTATGCTTACAGAAGTCTTACCCAGGAAGTTATATTCAGACAAAACATCCTACTTTTTCAGTGCGTGCAGGGTGCGAGCACTACCTTGTAGAACTTTGTCATTTCGCTTGTAGAGAGCAATATTCTTTCAAAATCAGGCCTACAGTAACTTTTAATCACAGTAGGCCAAAGCTGAATAAATATGACACACGGTTTAATGGCTGCATTGATGAAGATGGAATGCTATTCGTACCTGATTTGTTTTGCTCTGTTTGGATCATTTAATTGTACTTTTCAATTCACTTATAACTACGACCCATCGATATCCGGAACTTACCCGCCAAGAGATCTACGGTGCCCAAAGGAATGTAACTGCACGTATGTGGCAAAAGGAGGTTCAGAATACAGAAATGACGTATATTGTTCACATCTGTCTTTAAAAAATATTCCTTTAAAGAATACGGTACCAACTGATGTTGCTTTTTATTTCTTGAATGGCAATCAAATTCAATCACTGAAAAACAATTCCTTTAACATATTTTCTGTCCTAGATTATCTGGATCTTCAATATAACAAGCTAAAAAGTAAATATATTGAAGGCGATGCATTCCGTGGATTGAGGAAACTGAGATATCTTGCGATAAATGATAACGATCAACTCAGTGAACTTCAAGCAGCATGGTTCGTAGACCTTGTATCGCTAGAAAATCTGCATCTACAACGCTGCGGAATTAACATATTAGAGAGTGATGTCTTTAAGCCTTGTAAACATTTGAACAAAGTTAATCTTGCTAACAATAATATTTTGTCATTCCCAACAGGCATTTTCCAAAACATGTCTTCACTTGTGTACCTATATATACGCAATAATAAAATAATTAAACTTCAAAATCAAGCATTTGTTCGTTCCAACCGTATACAGGTAATCGATGTCAGTAACAATGGCCTCACTACCATTAACGAAAATGTTGGTTTACAAAACCTGAGCCAATTGCAGAGACTTAATGTAGCATACAACAGATTCTCGTGTGATTGCAATTTAGTCTGGTTTAGAAATTGGATTAACAAAACGAACGTCACACTTGACGAATTTATTCATATGCAATGTTACCGTGAACATGGAAAAAGCGAGAAGTTGTTGGATTTTGATCCTGATACATTACAGTGTAGCAAATTAATTAAGGTCTTAAGGATCATCATTCCGTCTGTGTCAGCTGGAGTTGTCATTGTAATAATTGGATCTCTTCTGTACTACTACAGATATGATTTAAGGTAGGTTATTCGCCAACCAAAGAAATATGAAAAAAGTCAGAAATTTCGAAAACGAGAAAGTGAGTGGTAGGGGAGATACATTATGAGGACTCAAAGTTTCAATCTATTTTATTGCTTTTCAGAATAGTAGTATAGTTGTAAACGAAAAATAGGTCAATAAATCGAAATGCCTCGGAGTTCATTTATGATTTATTCGAAAATAATTATAATCCTCATTAGCGGATTTTCTGTATATTACAGCAAAATAATTAGTATAATTTAATTGTTTTAAAAATATTAGTTTTGGCAAGACAACCGCATATATAATTAAACGAACTAGTATGTTAAGCATCGCGATTAGTTTTGATAAAATAGAAAAATTATTTATGACCACTAAAAGAAGATTGGCCTAATTACAGACGGAAATACACATTCTATGGAAATTTAACACTGGACCTAACCCCAACGGTCAGGGTACCATATTTTTCCTAGAAAACTCATAGATAAATGTGGTGGTGAACGTTATGCATTTATTTGTGTTATTGGTAGGGTATATGTTTAGGTAGGATAAATGAAGTAAGGCGATTAGTTTATAGGCCCTTACTAATTAATGTACATAAATTTGTGATATACTGAGGATATTACTGTAGATCAAAATAGGAAGTTTCTATAGATTAGACACTTTATGTTAATATCAGTAGGTCCACTGATAAGTTTAAGATAACTTAGTATAAAACATACTCGAAATAAAGTAAGACTAGTCATTTTGATTCAATATTTCGATCTTTTATTAGATCATCATCAGGATCCTGATGATGATCTAATAAAAGATCGAAAATATTGAATCAAAATGACTAGTCTTACTTTATTTCGAGTATGTTTTATACTAAGTTATGTTAATATGCTGCAAGGTCTAGAGGTCATAAGGTCTGCTTTGCTTTCACGAAGTGATGAATTAGGAGGTCGACTAACCACATTGAAAAGTTGTTGAAACTGAACCTATATAATAAAAATGTTGATCGGCCGATAGACAGGGAGGTTGGTTTTGTTTATTTATTTGAACATACACCTTTGAATTGGTGGCACTCTATATCAATTGGTGCGTTCGTACAAAAAAAGGGGGTAAAATTTAACAAACAAAATAAATAACAATCGACTGTATAAATATTACTATTACAAAATTAAAGGTAGAAAAATAACATATGAAATTAGATGAGATCACATTTCACATCACATTTCATACTCAGAAATATTTTACAGGTCAACTGTAAAGTAAATGCTTAAAATAACTAACTTAAAAATATAAAATCTAAAGATGAAAAAGTCATACAACAAAAAAGATAATACCAAGGTAGACCTACTAAATTTAAGGAATACAGACTACGATGTAGAGTCCACTTGTGGGGGGGGGGGGGAATTAACATCATACAATTTGATAAGCAACAATACATTTACAGAAAACTAATGCTGTGATTTTTTTTGTTGTGAGCGTTTCTCCCAAGCATTCTTTTTGTATTTTTTACAGAAATTATCAAAAATAGAGGTAGATTCATCACAAATAAAAACTGAATCTCCTAAAACATATTGAAGTTTAATATCGTCATTTGCTGTTGAAAAAAGTGTCCATGTATCATAATCGTTACAGAGTAGAAGGTCATTTTCAAGATTTGTTAAATGTTGTTTTCTAATGATATTATAAGCGGGACAATTTAGTAAAAAATGCTTGACATCTTCAATTTCTCCACTTTCACATAGGGTTCAAATGCCTGAAACATCATTTGACCATTTACACGTTTTACAATCAAGGGGTAGTGTATTAGATCTTAATTTAAATTTTAAGGCCCCAAGAAAATTTGTTTTGTCCAACAAGTTTAGTTTTTTGTTTTTGCTTTTTAAATTCTATAATAATACCACCCCCTTGATATATGCCAAGCAAATTCCCCATGGAAAGCAAGGCTTCATTTTTACTTCACGGATCTTCTATTGTAGTGACTGATCAGGTGGAGTGTATACATTCTAACACCAACTCCCTGACGAACAAACAAAATGACAAAATATGGACACAAAAAACATAGACCTAGCCGAAGTTGAATTGTGGGCGGAGGACGATATTTTCGTGATTTATTTTTATATAGGGAAAAGGGACAGTTAAACTGAAATATGGAATTGTACACTTCGAGAGATAAAGATTTTAATGATCTGTGTATAGATTCATAGTTTTTTTTTTTCTTGTCCGTTTCTTTCCGTTGTTGTGAAGCGCCTCGAGGTTGGTCCAACGGGAGGCGCTATACAAATTGCAAATTATTATTATTATTATTATTATTATTATTATTATTATTTGAATTCTAGACGTTTTTTGACGTAATAAGTTACACACTGTAAATTTAGGCTTTGAAATAAGCATAATTATAATATACAGTAGATGCCACTTATAGTATGCGCTGTTCCCATAAATTGTTTATTCATATTGTTTAGTTGTTATGAAGAAATTCTAGCAGAACTAAACATGGTCTTTTTTTGTTGAGTCAAAAAGCCGAAGTGTTAAGAGAGGGGTGCCGCCAACCACATTCAGTCATAATATCGGCGCCGTTTCGAACGGCACGCTCGACTATCTTGGATGTGAAGTCTTCTCGGATAATGGCTATATAGGCCCAGTGTACATAATTGGGTCATATGCAGTATCAGGCCCGTACAAAGTATTTTTATTGGGTGGGTGCGAATTTGTGGAAAGTGGATAAAAATAGGGGGGGGGGGGGGGCGCTAAAAACAAACCGCCACTGGTTTTGAGAGCAAACCCTATTCAGTGTCCTTATTTTCAAATGTTCTGTAGTTTATCAAAAATGTTGACGGCCTAACGATAAATATCAACTTTGATATGTTAAGGAAACTGATATATACAAAATTAAGTCAATCTAATTAAAAACACCGTGGAAATGTCATTAATTATACTACTACGGGTTTACGTTCATTAATATGATTACAATTTTAAGAATCGTAAATAAATCGAGGTCGGAGTAAAATAAATCCCTACAAATTGGACATACACACAGTGGTGGCGCCAGCGGACAGGTCCAGCCCCCCCCCCCCCCCCCCCCCCC